AAAAAGGGATAATGAAATTGAAAAATATTAAATAAACCTAGACTCACTTTTTATGATCATTCACGTGAAAGATTAACGAATTTTGAGTGACTTGGAAAAAATCATCATAAAAAAAAAAAGTTACAGAGAATATAAGTAGAGAGATTTTTTTTTAATTTATATGTGGGATTTAGTAAATTTTAGTGTGGGATTTAGCATGCCCCTATCTATATAAACTTGAAAACCACTATTTACAAACAACTATATAAATATGAAAACCACTCTGTATACTTTCCAAAATCCACTATAAAACCACTATGTATACTTATTAATGTGTAAGAACCTAACCCCCTCTAGAAATCCAAGTAAAGGCATGAGATTGAACAATCTTATTCTTTTGCTTTCCATGTTACAAATATTAACACCATAAAAAATTAGAATAATACATATTTAACCAATTTTCTGTCATGGACGAATCCGCAATCCACCACCAACACGAGTCACTTTTCTTCTTGTAGTTGAGTCCTAATCATCAATAAAAAACACTCGTAATATGAAACCTAAATTTAAAGAAAAACATTAATAATATATAAAAATTATTGTGTGGTTAAACATAAAATGAAAAAAACAGGTACATATCAATATAAATCATGATCGTCGATCCAAAGAAACGGCACTCATCTAATCCATTAATTGCCAAATTCGGCTGCAGCCAACGGTTGTTGTCAAATTTCAATAACAAGGGTCACTGTATCAATTTGAACAAGAAAAAAATTTAATTTATAAGAATTAATAGTCTTTTTTCACAATATCTTATTAATAAAAGGAAGGTTGTTCTGGTGAAACCCTAGGGTTTTTTTTCCCGCTCATTTTATGGCTACATTTGTCATTTAATTATTTTTTACTTTCATTATTTATTATTTCAATTTTCATTTAAACTAATTACGTATCTTTTAATGATATATTATTGTGTGATGAATTCTTTTATACCATTTATTTATTTAATTTTTTTATTATTTCAATTTTCATTTAAACTAATTTTAATGATATTTTAATTCTAAACTAATTACGTTTTTCAAGGAATTATCCTGATTTTCTGGCTACATTTGTCATTTAATTATTTTTTACTTTTATTATTTATTTCTTACTTTTATTATTTTATTATTTCAATTTTCATTTAAACTAATTACGTATCTTTTAATGATATATTATTGTGTGATGAATTCTTTTATACCATTTATTTATTTTATTATTTTTTTATTTCATTTTTCATTTAAACTAATTTTAATGATATTTTAATTCTAAACTAATTACGTTTTTTTCAAGGAATTATCTAGATTTTTCTCCCACACCAAATCTGGGTATCTTTTATTATTTTATTATTTTCATTTTATTAATCTTATTAATAAAAGGAATTTTATTAATAAAAGGAAGGTTGCATTGGTAAACCCTAGGGCAATTTTTTCCGCTTATTTGAATTTTACAATTATCAATTACTTTTATTATTTTATTTTATTTTATTTAGTAAATTAAGAATCAAGATCAAATTTTTAAATCAATCCCCTTCTTTTATCATTACGTATTCTACCTCATCCTCCTTTTTTTTTTTTGGAAATGTCTTCAATCTCAAATTTTCCGTATTTAATTTGATCCGATAAGATCCATTCGTGATTTGGTATTTTTGGTAATCACATTATCCGATTTGTGTGATTTGTTGATTAATCGCAAAAGATCGGGATATGATGAGTTTGTTCACATTATCCGATTTGTGTGATTTGTTGATTAATCGCAAAAGAAACGGGATATGATGAGTTTGTTAATGTTTATATATCTGAAGTTCTATGTATCATTTAATGTGTTCAATTTTCTTTTTTTTTTTTTTTTTTTTCTCTCCATTCCAAAAACCCTAGGGGCAGGGGATTGTTCTACAGCCGTAAATATCATCACCATTAGTCGGAGTAATTTGGATTCAGGAAATTTGTAATTCAATAATTTGAATTCGTGTAATTGCAGATTTTTTTGTCTTTCCATATATAATGTTGATTAATCTTTCAAGGTGTAATCAAGGAGACCGATGAACCTACTCACTTTTTGTCATATTGAAAGTAAGTTCAGAGATAAAATCTTCAATTTCTTCTATTTTTTTACGACGGACACTGTTACTTAAATTCGTTGTATTGGATTCGTTGATGAATTATGTGATAATTTTAAATGAAATCCTTTTAATTTATATTGTTATGCTTAATCAGTGAAAATTAGGTAGGCCGAGGAAGCTACTATTGGTTCTTCATATTGTTTTATCTGTTGCAATATTATGCTTCCAACTTTGATTATTGTGTGCAGTTCGTTTAGCAATTATTTGTTCAACGGGCGATTTCTGGCAACAATCCAAATTCTACATAATATTACAATTTCCCCCCTTAAGCTTTGCCCTTAGTTTATAGATAGCTAGAACCACTTCAATGGTAGATAATAATTTATCAAACTTTAAAGGCAAAACCTGTAATTCTATAAATTTTTTTATTTATTTTCCATTTTATCCAACTGTCCGACTACTAAATGTCCGTTTATTGAAATATAAAACATGTCATTTTATTGTCGATTACCACTCCTTTGCACTTCTATTCAATGTTTATTTTTTGTTCTTATTCTATTATCATGTTCTTCATTCTTTCTTCTTCTTAGTAGAGCATTTTGAAAGACAAAAACCTGTACAATAACATCCCTACATACGTAAAGAAAAATATCGACCACAAGGTACGTATTGTTTTCTTAGTTTATTGTTTGTTAAACTCTCTCCAAATCTAATTTTATACCCTCTTGGAATTTAAATTTTAATGTGAAATTGTCGGTATTTTTTCCATTAAGGATTTATTTGTTTCACTATTATTATTTGTTGGTGGATTAAACTATTTAAGTGCTTGCAAATCAAAATTTGGGGGATAGAGAGTTTAGGGAATCAAAACTTTTCCAGTTAGTTATGTTTATTCGCATGAAATTTAACCAATATTTGTATCCTTTATGAACAATGTTCTTCTGAAAATTCTTTTATTTATGTATTGAGAGTTTCCTTCAAAGAAAAGATGTGTATCGTTTCATTTGTAATTTCTTAACAACTAAACGTAAAAATTAATTTAATTTCGTCATTTGCATCATTAATGTCTACCTATACTAAATATTTTTTTCATGCGTTTGTGTTTTTTTATAAAAGATTGATGAAGATTAAAGAATGCTAGCTAGCTGACAGCAGTTTGTAAGGTTCCCACAACTAGCAAGTGTTAGGGTTATACACTCAATGTATTTCTCCAAAGTTGTGGCGTATAACCAAGCATCTCAGTCAAATGGTAATATGTTTTCAATATATTTATGTATCTTTTATTCTGGACATCTAATATGTTTACAAAAATTACATTTCAGTTTTATGAATAAGAATATTTTTAATTCATTTTTTTTTTGTATTCTTAAGTTTTCTGGCCTGGTTGACATAATAATAATATCACTGCACTAAGTCATATACAAAATATTTAAAGAAACTTTGAAAATCTCGAATCGTGTACATTTTTCATTAATTATATTAAATATTTTTTTTCCATATATTTTTATTTTTATGTGTTTCTTTTTAAATAATCTCTAAAAATACAAAAAATTCGTGCATCACAAATCTAAAGTTAGTTTTGTGTTTACAGTTAAGCATTTCATTTAAATGGTCATATGTTAAGTCTATAAAGCTAACTTAAGTCAACTCCCATACTCCAATCCAGTAGCATTTGAAACTGTACAACATTTTGTTATTAATTATTTTGAATGTTGACTAGGTTTATGAGATTCTACACCCGGTTAAATACACCATATAGTTTTAAACCGTACATCTACATAAATAACTATCCACTAAGCGCACATACATATGGACGTGTGTGTTATTATATGTAGATCTACGGTTGAAAACTACATGGTGTAATTCACTAGGTGTAGGTTCTACAAAAATTCAACCCCTAAAAATTATATTGGTAGTGATAGGGACTACAAGTGTACAACCAAGTGATTGTTACTGTGTTAATTTTATTAGATGCATTGAATTGTTCGTTGCATGCTGGGAAAATAATCGACAATATAATTATGCAATATTTTTTTTGCTTATTATGATGTATCATGAAATTTTGACTAGAAAAGTTCTTTATTTCCATTTTTTTATGGTCTTTCTGCAATTAATAATATAAACTATTCTAATCTTGACACCTTAAATTTATGATATAAACGAAATATTATTTTGCATTAATTTTGTTCTAATCCCGTGCATCGCACGGGTGAAATTACTAGTTTTTATCAAATAAGAACATTCCCCACAAACCCTATAACCATTGAAAAGATGATTGAAAGGGAAAAAAAAAATTACCTTTTTTCTACAACCGCATAGATATCATTCGACGACGATGAAGAGTGATGAAATAGGGGGGGGGAGAGGGGGGGGCTGGGGCGGCATCAGGTGGGGCTGGGGCGGCGCTGGTGGGGGGCTGGGGTGGCGCCTATGGGGGCTGGGGTGTCCTCGGGTGGAGACTG